TTAATCACCTTTTATTGCCAATAAGTAAATGGGTTGTAACATAACTTAAATGAGACCTCCCTTGACTTCTTACCTGTGGACTGATTTATATGTGTTTCTATGTAGGGATATGGTTTGGATTTTCAGCAAAAAATACAAAGGATATGATGTTCATGTCCGCTAACATCGACAAACGACCACAACACAGTTCAATTCCAAGGTCAAAGCTAACATTACTGCAAAGCGTGTGGAATATATTGTAATATTGTGGCTTTAGCTGGCTAACATTAGCTTGCTTGCTTATATGGACAAATTGCTAGCTGGCTAACGTAGCAAAATACTGTCAGCTAACTTCATTTAGACTCCCAGGGCGGATCTGGCTGTCTTACTGTTTGCAGGTTAGTTTGTCGGCTGGCGTTGTGGTGAGGATGGCGCCGGATAATGCACCTGACTGGCTAACCATAGCCTACTCACTTGCTAACATTATTGGGGAGTGTGCCTATGTTCCCACAGTTCCCACAGTTTGCTAAGATTTTTTTCAGACGAAATTTAGGCCCTGATGTTCCCACATTTCCTTTTTCATAAATTTGTATCAGATTTATCCCCCTTTCTCCCCCTAACCCTACCCCTAACCTGCTGTGGGAACATACGGCCTAATTTTAAGAAAAATCTTCGAAATGTAGGAACATAGGGCTGACCGCCATTATTGCTAGCAAAATACTATCTAACTCTTCAGTGGATATGTTAGTTAGCTAATATTAGCTTGCAAAATGACTTGCCCTGCTAATGTGATCCATGATACCAACTTATGTGTTATGACAAATTATGTAGATTTTAGCCAACAATAATGTGTGTCTGGCATTAGTTGCAGTTTAGCATGGACTCAATAGCATTGTTCTAAATGTTACTGTAATTTATTTTCCAGCGTTCAGTCACTTATGGTCAATAGATGATGCCCTCAGACTCGCTCAGGCCTGTGTATGTGAGCGTGAATGGTTTTCTGAAAGTTACATACAGAACCTTTTACAGTGTGAGTCTGACATTGTTACAGAGTGTATTCCCCAAATTGTTAAACTTTTCCTTTAACAATGCAATTACCCATATATTTTTGATATTTTTGATAAGTATATCATTTTTTAATAAATACCATTTATCCTCTGAAGGTAAAGTAAACTTAAGTTCCATTAAGTTCAAATAGATTCCCTTTTCTTTCTTGCTTTTGAAAACATTGTGCTATGTCACTGTGACATAAAAACTTGGAACAGCAGGGCGCTCACTCAGCCTTCCCTGCATGTAATCTTACAAAAACAGTGGCACAGAGGGGTTGAAGCATTCCAGATATTAAATGCTTTCTACGCTGTTGTCACTTTGTTTGACAACTTAGACATAATGGCTGTGGAAGTCAGGAGAGTGAGTCGAAAGCATTTTGCTTCTGACTTATTCATACGATCACTTTTACATAACCAATAATTTAGGGCTGAGGAAACACAAAGCTTCAGGGATCCTCTCACAGGGATGGATGCATGACTGGATTTTTGTTTGTTCTTTTGGTCTAAAACCCTGCAGTGAGACTGACGCACACCCGTACACACACATATTTAAAAGAGAACACGTGATTCAGCCTTGATGCCCTTTGGTAATTTTATTTCATTTACAGCCAGTTTGTTTATTGTTCATCATCCATGATGACACTTGACTGCAAACATACAGTGACAGAGAGAATATCACGCTTAAAAGTGCAACACACACACACACACCCACCCACAATGTGTGACATTTTTCTATTCAGTGCTACAATGAAAGGGAGTCGCTACCCCTACTAACAGAGTTTATGGTTTATTAATAGACAAATACTTTACTTGTTTCAAGCTGAAACTACATACACATGTAGATGTACAAGTGTATCTGTATTATAAAGATTTTAAATGGAGCACCCTAGAGTTGTAACTGTGTAATGTTTTTCTACTTTCTGTGTTCTGAATTGTCTGTAGGCAGCAGGGCAGAGAATGCAGAGGAACGGCTGGTGAATTACCTGTTGGGTCCAGAGCGCTACAACAAACTCATCAGACCAGCTGTCAATAAGAGCCAGCAGGTCACCATCTCCATACAGGTGTCTCTGTCTCAGCTCATCAGTGTAGTAAGTACATTTATATACAAAAACACACATTTGTACACACACAAATACTAATTATTATTGTTATTATTCCTAATTATTCCTACTTGCATATTTGTAACAGTGAACATCCTGACTGTGACAACATCTTTATGGACATATAACCAAAACCCCTTTTGATATATCATAATAAATATTTTTTTCCTAGCTTGGTCACAATGAATAAATTGTACCTTCGCTTGTTTTCTTTTGTCACCTGGACCTGACAGCTTGGATTCATATCTTATAGAGCTTCTAGCAGTTCTTACACACTCTGCTTTTTAAATTTATTTTCGGAGACTGAGTCTTTATTTACATGCAGGCTGCCTACTTTGCACTTTGCTGTGAAAGAAATGCCTCACAGCTCTGTACACACTGATAACAAACTTGTGACATGTAGTAAGTCCCCCTCCACTGCAAAGTGTGTTTTTCTTCTTGTTCCTACAGTTGGATGTTGGAGC